GGAGGCTGAGGCAGGAGGACTACAAATTTGTGGGCAATTTAGAGACTCCTAAAACTGTCTCAAACATTACAAAAGGGTTGGGGAGTATAGCTATGTGCAAAGGCTCTGGGTTCAATCCTCAGTACCACATAAAGAGAAGTTTTATTGAGATATATTTCACATACCATAAAATTTGCCCATTTAAATTAAATAATTCAGTGGGTTTAGTGTATTCATTGTTGTATAAACGTCATATTTGTGTACTCATATCTGATTTATTTTTCTTGGTGACTAGCTAAAGATTGGCTGGTTTTGTGGAATTTGTTTGTTGTTGTTTTGTTTTGGTACTAGGGACTGAACTCAAGGCCTGCACACTGAGCTACATATCCAGCTGATTCCCACCTTTCTTAAATTTTTAGACAGTGTCTCCCTAAGTTGCGCAGGCTGTGCTTGAATTTGTGATCCTCCTGCCTCAGCCTCCCAGAGTGCTGTGATTACAGGTGTGTACCAGCATCACTGGCTTGTTGAAGTTTTTAAAGAATCAACTTTTGAATGCAGTGATTTTTTAAATTTTTCTTTCCCTATTTCATTTATTTCCATTCTAATGTTTATTACTTGCTTCTTTCTGTTTGCTTTGGGCTTACTCTGCTGTTCCTTGTCTAGCTTCTTAAGGTGGAAGTTTAGGCTATTGATTTGGGATACACATTCTTTTCATTTATTTTTATTAGTACCTATTTGCAGTACATAATGTTTACATTCCTTGTGTGGAGTTGGTGCATGTACATAACACAGCTCAATTCCTTTTTTCATCATATAAGTTTTTTTCAGTGTAAGTACTGGCAACTATAAATGTCCCTCTAAGTGCTGCAGTAGCAACATTTCAGAAGTTTTGGTATGCTGTGCTTTTGTTTTCCTTCTTCTAAAGTATTTTCTAATTTGTCTTGTGATTTCTTTGACCCTTCGGCTATTAGGATCTTAGCTAGCTCTTACATTATTTGTGAATGTCTCGACTTTTCTCCTATTGCTGATTTCTAATTCCCTTCTGCTAGTAGCATAATATACTTTGGATGATTTCAACCCTTTCAGATCTACTGAGACTTTTCTGGCCTAGCATGTGGCTGTCTTGCAGGACGCTCCATGTGCACTTGGTAGTAAGTGTCGTGGCTGCAGTTCTCTGGGGGGTGGTGTGGTTGGCGTATAGTGCTACTCAAATCTATTTCCTGGTTATCTCTCACTAGTTGTCCTATTATTGGAAATGGGGCATATAAGTTTCAGACTACTAATTCCTTAATTGTCTTCATCCCATAAACTAGCAGGGTTGGTTTTTTTTAATTGAACTAAAGGTTTTTGCTTTTATGTGTTTTGGGGCTCTGCTGCCAGGTGCACATTCATTTATAATCATTATATCATTCTAGTATATTGGCCCTCTTACCATAATAAAATGTATTTTTAGCAAAATTTCTTAAAGTCTACTTCTTTGTGTATTAGTATATCCACCTCGGTTCTCTTTTGGAGACTGCTTTCATGGTACAGCTTTATCCATTCTTTTACTTTACTTGCTTATAAAGGTCTCTTGTAGACAGCATATAGTTGGATTATTATGTTAATCCATTTATTACTTTAGTCCATTCTGCTATTTCTGTCTTTTGAGACATAATAGTTATCTAAAAAAATAATATTTATCAGGTAGGATTTACGTCTATTTGTTTTTAAAATTTCTTATGACTACATAGTTCTATTCTTCCATTGCTGCCTTTTGTGTTAAATATTTACTGGTGTATCTGTTTCATTCCCTTGTTTCTTTTACTGCATTTTAAAATTATTCTCTTAGTGGTTGATCTGAGAGTTACAATTAGTATCTCAGAACAATCTATTTTGGATTTATATCGGCTGAATGTCAATAGTTGCTGTGATATAGTTAGTGTATTTTACTTCATGTATTCATTTTCTGCCCATTCCTTTACACTATTATGATTATACAAAAAACATACACTATAAGTCCATCAATGCAGTTTTTAATAAAAAAACTTTATTAAGCCAAAATCAATGCAGTTTTATATGTATTGGTATAGGCAATTGTCTTTTAAAAAAGAAAATATTACAAATGAAAGTATTTATAGTCTTTCATAATCCAGACATAGTTATGCCTACCAAAGCTCTTTATTTCTTTGTATGGGTTCAAGTTAATGTCTAGTGTCCTTTCCCTAAAGCCCAAGGGATGTCAGTATATCTTCCAGGGCAGTTCTGCTAGTGCTGAAATTCTCTCACTTCTTGTTAATCTGCCATTGTTGTACTATCTCCTTTATTTTTAACAGTTGAACTTGACTGTCTATTTCACCCCACTCTCTTCTGGTCCCCAAGTTTTCTGATGAGAAATCAACTGCTAATTTTATGACGAATTTGTGGTTTCCTTTTATGGGGTGATTTGCATTTCAGTGAAGCCTTGACTTTCAGGATTCTCACATTGGTTGTAGTTATTTTGCCCATACCCTCATCATTTTAGGGGAAGAAAAAATTTCACCAAGATCCTTATTCTATCACCTTGGAAACTGATCTCAAACCATTTTAATCACTTAGTTAACAACTTTGATATCTTATGAAACAACTTTTCTTTCACAGATTTTTTTCCTAAAATTTCTGAACTAGTCCCACCTATTTGGCTAATTCTTCAATTCAATGTTAGAATAATTTGCTTAAACACCAAAAGATAAATTTCATTGAAAACAAGAATGACTGTTTTGTAAACAGGTCACCTTCTTAGCACACCCATGGTTTCCATTAGAATAATTTGCTTAAACACCAAAAGATAAATTTCATTGAAAACAAGAATGACTGTTTTGTAAACAGGTCACCTTCTTAGCACACCCATGGTTTCCATTTTATCTTTATATTCTTAGCAAACTTACTCATTTTTCCCGTGTATAGTCCAGTGTATTTTCCCTAAAGCATTTTACATTTTCTGCTGTGACTATGAGCCAGGATTAATATGCCTGCTACTTATTTATTTCTTTAATAGGAAGCAGCAGATCAATATGTTCTAGAGTGAAAGAAGTCATTTATGTACCTAAAGCTAACAGGCTCAGAGCCTCGCTCCTTCTATCCTGAGGGGTTTTCTGTTTTTCTTATCATCTGAAGCAACAAAGTATCTTCCTTCAAATTGAATCTCAAGCAAGGCCTCAATTCATAATAAACCGAGGCTGTGCTGGCTGAAGAGGGTGAGAGCTGGCCCCAGCTACACACGCCGGGCCTTCCGGCTCACTCCCATGGCAGCCCCTGCAGATGTTTCCAACAGCTGGCTGCCTACATGGGAGCCCATCTGTGGGTTCCTCAGCGTGAACTCTGGCTTTTTAACACTTCATTCTACTTAAAGGTTTTTTTTTTCCAGTATTGGAAATTGAATCTAGAACTTCAAATTGATCTATTATCTCCAATCCTCCTTTATTTTGAGACAGGGTCTCACTAAGTCACTAAGTTGCCCAGCTAGATATTTATGATCTTCCTGCTTCAGCCTCCCAGACTGCTGGGATTACAGGCTTGTGCCACTAGACCTGGCTGAAGGTGTTTTTCACCTCTCTTCAGAAACCAGTAACCAGTTTGATTCTACCTCGCTGCCCTTGATCACCTGACTCTGTTATGAGTCAGGACAGAGGACTACATAGAGCTTGAAGATGTGCTGGGTTTAAAACAGGATTTCTGTGATACTTCATCACTAAGCCAAAACTGACATTAAACAAACAAACAAACAAACAAACAAACATGTATTTAGTCTCTGTCCCTGTATCCTGGCCCAAAATTGTAGGGCCCTTGTAATTCCCAGAGTGCTCAGTAATCTTTTCTTCTCACATTCTTTTTCCTCAGTTCTGATGGACACTCCTATACTACAGGGTCAGAGGGATTCTGGGATGGTGAACATATCCATGTCAACAGAGGGATGCACCCAAGAGCTGCAGGGACAGAAGCTCCTGCACTTGGGGCCCCTCCAGATCTTGCCCTATGTATCTGTTCATCTGGCTGTTGTTTTGCGTCCTTTAAAATATTCTTTGTAAATCAGCAAAGGAAGTGTTCTATTGTCCTGGGTCCTATGAGCCCTGCAGCAAATTGTAAACCCAAGAAGGGAGTAGTAGGACTCCACTTCCCCACATCTGGTGTCAGAAATAAAATAATGAGAGTGGTGTAAACACAGAAAGAAAAGGGTGGTTTTTCCTGTATTCATCATCCCATGTCACAGTAGAAAGAAGTATGTTGACTCTTCCACTTCAAAATAAATATGGCGCCCAGGGTTCAACTAAGTGGGTAGGCAGATTACATCATCTGTGGATTTTAGTTCAACACAGAAAGAAGCACTGACAAAGCAGCTGGTATGTGAGAGGGCGGGTCTGACGAGGCTCAGAACTACGTGACCGGAGGGATCTTTAAGCATGTAAAAAAGAATATTCATACATGAGGTCTTGTTGAAAGACCTTTATTAATTTAATTTTTTGGATGGAAGAATTTTAAAATAACTTTGACAACTTGAATAAAAATATTAAGTATGATGTTTTTAACTAGAAACAATCTGAACCTTAAAGAACAGGTTGTGGGGAGCAGCGAGGCTCACAGGAGTGGAAGAAGATGGTAGCCAGCCGTGTGGTAAAGCTGGACGGAGGCCTTCGAAACTGCACAGACTCCTCACTCCAGAGCACGCTGCTGAGGCTGAGTACTCAGTGTCCTCACGAGGTGATCTCTCTGTGATGGGGCTTCTGATCTGACCCTGCCCATAGAATCTGTACAGGAACAGGGGGATCCAGTACAGTGTGAGATCCAAAACAATTTGATACATGGTTGGTAAAAAGCAAAAATTGAATGCAATTGGTGCAGTATTTAAGAATATTTGAAATTGTGACAACTCAAAATATTTCCAAGATGTACTGTGTAAAGGCATCGGGAAAGGATGGTGTGCTGATCTTGGAGCAGATGCATTAGCTCAGCATGGCACAACTCAATGCTAAGTGGCTGCTCCACAAAAAACCAAGAGCCCAGAAGGAGGCAGAGGCATAGCTGTTTATTCCTAACACAATATTCATGAATAGTAAGTCTTACTAAAATATGACTCAAAAGCATTAAGTTCCAATAACAACTGTCTTCTTACCCCACAAAATGACGTTCCTCTCAGAAATAATCAGTTGGATCCCTGGTACCAAAAAAAAAAATCAGGAAGGGGCCTGAGTTCTGGTAAGAAATATTGGGGCCAAATCCAGACTCGACGTGTGGGTGCTGTCCCCCAGCCCAGCCACATGACTTGTGTCCTGACTGCATGACACCTCAGTGGCAGGATTTGTTCCAAGAAGTCACAGGAGTCCAAGGACCTTCTGGATCCGCCATCCTTGTCCTTTAGCATGACAAGCTCAACATCTAGCGATGTTTTTTGATCCACTCTTCCTCTGGTGTCTAGTGTCCTTGGGATCAAAGCCTCTTTCGCTGGCACCAAACAATGCCCAATGAGGAGTTCGGGCCATGTAATCCTCAGCACAGAAAGTTCTGGCTCCTCCGCTATCTTCATATTCCTGGATGAGCTCCTGGAACCGGTTATAATCAATCCACGTCCACCATTCTCCACCAATCTTGAACTGGAAAGAAAAAAGTTGTCAGGCCAGAAGGAAAAATATCCATTAAAAAAAACAGTATTTTTAAAAAAATCACAAATGAGCCTGTTTTTCTCGCTCATTTTAAAAACTTTTACACATCCCAAGTATGGTTTCCTCCTAAAAGCACATGAGCTGGAGTGGAGGGAGGGCTTCTTGTCCCTGGGGCTGCGGCCTCACCGCCCTGGAGACCCAGCTGCCGAAGGAGGAGTGCTTCCTGGAAGCGGAGGGCAGTGGCTCCTGAGCAGGGTCCCTGCAGAGGGCGCGACTCTGTGGTGCAACCGTGTGGTGAGGCTCAGGTCAACTCCACATCCTGAGTTGCCACTGCTTACCTGGTTCAGGTTTACATGGCTGTGTTGGCAGCACCTCGTGGAAGCCATTTTACTACTGAACTCTGCACGAGTTATTAGTAAAGCTTTAATCAATGACCTCTAATTCCAAAACACTAACTAAATGACTAAAACTAGCCTTTCCAGCCTAACATCCATACAAGATCTCATTAGTAGAAACCCTTGTTAAGAATTTCAATTCAATAAAGGGAAATAATCCAATTTGTACTCTCTTAAGGAAATTGTTTCTCCAAAGTCACTGTACAATAATGACCTGGAATGAAGAAAACCGAACAGGCTCTGCAAGAAAGGTGCACTGAACTGTGAGGGCTTTAATTCAGAGCATCCGTTTGGCATTCACCAGAGTAAATGTATAACTAATAGGTCGAAACCTGACTTACAAAAGGATAAGTAAGTATTTCTTGTACCACTATCTTAAATAGAAAAAAAGAAATCGGGTTAACTCTATGAACCAAGTCAAGCAATAGTTCCCTGTTCCAGCCAAAAAGAATATTGAAAACATATAGGTTTCTGGATTCAGAACATTAAAATATGCTGAATTTAAATAGCACCTGATTTTTTATCCTGCAGCTAAGATCCAAATAAATGTGAGAGTTTAATTGGCCTACCTATGACTGTTGAGTGAGACCTTTCTTCTAGTGAGCCCATTCCTTGGAGCGGTGCCCGAGGGCTGTGAAAGCTCTCTGCTGAGGTATGAAGTCCACACCGTCATCTTCCTGCCCGCGCTGACCGCCCGAGTGTCCCCACCACTGTAAGAGCAGTCGCTGTCACTCCCAGGTGCTGAGCCTCACAACTGCACAGCGGAAGGTAACCCCTTTCCCAGGCCCTGACACCACCAAACACCCAGACCCACACACTCTTCCTGAGCAGCCTTTGTGCCACCAGCGGCTGATGTTGCTGAACACAGGCTCTTACTCTGGGACTCAGGAAGTCTTCAGATGATTGCTCTGATTCCAGTCTGGACTTCTCCCACCCCAAGAGAGAGAGAAAGTATGCTCAGAAATACAGAAACACTGCAGAGAAACAGTCTGCATACCAGACCTGTATCCAGAGGCTCATGAGCTATCGCTCCCTCCCTCCTTTTATTTGTGCAGTGCTGGGGACTGAGCCCAGGGCCTTTGCACAGAGCTACATCCCAACCTTTTAAAATTTTGAGATAGGATCTTGCAAAGGTGCTAAGTTGCCCGGGCTTGGGTCAAACGCATGATCCTCCCGCATCAGCCTCCCAGAGCGCTGAGATTACAGGTGTGCTCCCCCATGCCCAGCTTGCTGTGTCCTTGCCAACTCTAGGCACTATTCCCTCTGTGATTCAGATCAGCTTGTGCGTCGTCCTGTGCTCTGGGAGGTTTTCTGGAGCTCTAAGACATGACAGAGCCTCTGCATGGAACCTCCCAGCACTGCCCCGCTCCAGGTGACCTCGTGCACCCCAGGCCACCAGGCCCTTCCTCCTCACCTCTGAACAGAGCTAGAGGACCCTGTGATGTGAAGACCCCACTGGTCCCTGACATTGTGGGAGACAGGACAGAAGGCCGCTGCCTGGCTCCATAGTCTCATGGGGACTGCTGCCCAGGGCACACCTGACAGAGGGTGACTTCCTGACTAGACAGGGAGAGGCATGGCACTGACACGCATGTCAGTGCAAAGAGGCCACGCCAAGCCTTTTATAGTTCCTCCTATCAGCATTTACGGAGTGCCAACGACAGGCCCCACCCAAGGTTCAAAACAGTGACCTGACAACAGAGCATGTGCTGCGAGGCTGTGCACAGCCCACCCCAGGTTAGGGCTTGGGTTAGGACCACACGAAGAAATCGTTGCCCAGATACATCAGTTTAAAGCTTAAATCTGACCATGGCGATGTCTACGAAAACAACCTGGAAGACCAGGTCGCTGTACCACAAAACAGGCCTGCTCGTCAGCTCGGGCTGCCACAGCAAAGCACCAGCGTCCGGCTACTTCAGCAACAGGAACATATTCCTCACCATTCTAAGTGCTGTGAGTCCAACAAAGGGTTCCCACAGCAGACCCTTCCTGACCTGCAGGTGACCGTCTCCTCTCCTGCCTCTGCTAGTTTGGGTACCTAGGAAGAGGGTAAGTGAGTATGCTGGCCGGGATCTGTCTGTCCCTCTTTTTTTGGTACTGGAGACTAAAACCAGGCCTTCATTCTGACCTACATTCTTAGCCTGTTTCTTTTTTATTTTGAGACAGGCTTTTGCTAAGTCACTAAACTGCCCAGGCTGAGCTCCAACTTGCAATCCTCCTGTCTCAGCCTCCCACAGAGCTGGACTTACAGGAAGGTCTCTTGTTATGTGAACAGTACTCCTAGGAGATCAGGGACTCATCTTTACAAGTTTATGTAACTAGAAATCCCTTCTCTTAGTTCAGCCACACCACAGGTCGGAACCCCACTATCTGAACTGGGGATGGGGCTGCAGTAGGTCTATAGCACTAAGTTACCCTGAGATTACGCTGAGCCCAGATTGAATCTATGCATGGCCCCTCCCAGGACAACCTGAGAATAAAGCAGCTCTGAAAAAGCCAAGCCGTTTCATGCAAAAGGCAGAAGCTAAAGGGCAAAACTGAGTATGACTGACACACACCGGCGAGAGGCAGCTACACATAGAGCAACGAAACCCAAATCCTAATTGGAGGTTAACTGTCCTGAGACCCAAGGTCAGCCCGCTGCAGGAACCCTTCAAATCCAACAGTCTGGGAAGAGCTAAGTCCATGCCGAATTACAAATAACTCAAAAGGTCACAGATGATCTCAAAGCTCAGCGAGGCGCAGCGCTGAGCAGTGCAGATCTGCAGCCTCAGTGGGCAGATGCGCCTGTGCAGCCCCACTGCAGCCCCTGTGCAGCCCCACTGCAGCCCCACTGCAGCCCCACTGCCTGGGCCTGACGGCAGCTCACTGCCATCTCACCCCTCACACAGAGAAGACTGTTGCACAGTGGAATGAGCACAAAGGCTCCTTATTATCACGCATGCTATATACAAAGATTCCACTAAAACTGCTGGATTCAACAAACACATGCATTTTGCTTTCTCTTGAAACTCCCCCTAAAATGATGGCAAGGGTGTTTTACAAAAGATATATAAACCCAAGGCTGGGTGTGCTGGTGCATATTTGTAATCCCTGGGGGGCAGAGGCAGGAGGATCACAAATTTAAGCTCAGCCTAGGCAACTTATTGATACCTTGTCTCAAAATTTGAAAAAAAAGGGGAAGGAGCACCCAGATGTAGCTAAGGCCAAAGGCCTGGGGTTCCACCCCGAATAAAACACACACACACACACACATACACACACCTATAAACTCAGATACCCAAGCCCACCAGGCAGCTGAGGAAGACTTCTGACATGAAAGAGCGAGAAAGAGACAAGAGCAACAAAACAAACTGAGCCTGCGCAGGAAAACATGATAAAAAACCCAACTAAAGTAATGACTGATGATCTCAGAGAATGAAAATACTGTATTCATTAAAAAATGCTGTAACTAAAAAAATTAAAAGATCTTTGATTTTTAAAATATAAATGAAGGATTCATGAAGAGTTCCTAGAATACAGAGTAAAAAACAAAAGATAAAAATGGGAGAGAAAAGATCAAAAATGATTATACACAATACCATCCAAGAGACCAAATTTAGAAACTTTCTTTCTGTGAGTTCTAGAAGGAAAGGAGAAAAAGCTGAGAGGGAGGAAAATTTATTGAAATAATTCTGGAAAATTTTTAGGAAGTGAAGTTCATGAGTGTCCAGGTTAGAGGGGTCCAGCAGCGGAGACAGAGAGGAGGTTGCTCAAGCAAAGCATGGTCCTGGAGACCGGGCAGGGGTAAGCGTCAAAGGCCACCTGGGTTCTCAGCAAGTGTGCTGCAGGCTGACAGTGGCCACAGCCTCACTCAAGGACAGCTTCCAAGGGGATGCTACACAAGGAGAAACCACGCGCGAGGTGGAGGAGAGTGAAAACACCCTTGGACACTTATGGTCTCAGTGAATTGTATCTCTCCGAGCCCTTTTCTTAGAAATCTACTGGTGGGTGTGCTTCATATGCAGAGGGAGAAATAAAAAAGAATCATGAGGTGCCTGAAACCAGGGGTCTCCACATGGAGGAGCTGAAGGAGCCCCGGGACAACAGCCTCACATTGTCTGTCTGT